GGCTTGGGTTGACGGAGTAGCGAGACTTGATGTTCTCGAGTGTAGTGGAATTCTCATTTTGATGTGGTGTCTTCTTCCTTGTTGGAACTCTTTAAGGTTCACCGGTTTTATGGTCTCCTTTGATTTGCCTTCGGGGCAGGATGTTGTGAAATAGTGCCTCAGAAACGGTTGTCAGATATGGCAGGTCTGTGTTGGCCTTAGGATCGAATTAGCGTTTTTAATACTGATGGCTCGGGAAAGATGATCTTTGAGGAGGCTTAGAGTTGGTAGAAATTTATCAGGTCAGGTGCTACAGTGATAGATTTTGCTTTGAGGCAATATTTGGGCAGCGGAAGATAAAGAAGGATAGGGCGGAAGGTGTCTCGCGGTGGTTGAATTACTAGCGGGTCAATCATGAAAAGCGTAAGTCGAGAAATTGCTTAAAGGAGAGGATTTAACCAAATTGGGAGCGGGCCGTTCGCCTCGGCAGTAATAGATGCATCTATGGTTCGTGCCGTTCGACCCTCGGCAGTGCATAGATTATGATGGGATTGGGCCATACACCTCGGCATTTCTATAAAATACTCTCATGGAATCATGTGTAATATTTGACAAGAAGTCAGTGTATCTATGAGTCTTCCTGGTTCGAATTATGACAACCCATCTGGTGAGGTCCATTATATATATGTGCTCCGGTTGAGGAGGTAATTGCTAATTGAGAGCTTGAGTCTATTGTAGAGAGGAGGATTGTATCACGTAATTATACTTGTTTATTTCGTTTGTTTACTCTGCCCCATATCTGCTACTTCTTACTATATCTGTCTTATTGGACCACTAGTAAGTGTCGATGTCTGTCACGACCCCAGTTCACCCTCCATGAACATGTCGTGATGGCACCTAGTTCCTACAACTAGGTAAGCCTAACAATGTGGAAATTAATATGACTTGCGGAAACATTTAATTAAATTTAGCAAACCTAGAAGAAAACGGTATATAAGTGCCACTTGGCATATACAACTCAAAAATAAAACGCGGAAGTCTACAATTTCATCCCAAAACCCGAAAACTCACGGGAACCACAAGCTAATAGAAATGTAATATGCTGCTCTAACTCCAAAATATCTAAACAACTGAAGAAAGGATAGAATAACTACCAAAGCTGGAACTGAATAGAGACTCCCGGTCTGCGGACGCGGCATATATACCTCGAAGTCTCCACTAGATCTCTCCGCCTCGAGGATAGTACGCCTGAGTGGAGGTACCTGGATCTGCACATGAAAAACATGCGTAGAAGGGGCATGAGTACACCACAACGGTACTCAGTAAGTGCCAAGCCTAACCTCGGTTGGGTAGTGAAGAGGAAGGTCAGGGCCCTACTGAGGTCAAACAACATAATATGAATTAACAATATGAAAACTAACAGTAATAATGAATACAGCAATAAGAATAGACAGGTTAAACAAGGCGATAACAACTACACAAAGAAAAAATAAACACGGAATATGTACAAATCAATACCAATGATAACAACGAGGATCTCCCAGGATACCGTCCTGTAGTCCTTTTCTCAACTGTCCAGTGGGTCTCCCGGGATACCGTCCCGTAGTCCATCATTTGTGTAACTCCGAAGGATCTCCCGGGATACCGTCCCGTAGTCCAACTATCAATGTGCAGGGGGATCTATCAGGAATCTAACCTGCAGTCCCAAAGTAAAAGTGCAGGGGGATCTACCAAGAATCAAACCCGTAGTCCCAAAGTAAACAAACAAGGGGGGGGGGGACCTACCGGAATCCCACATCCGTAGTCCCAATGTAAATGCGCAACCACAACCAGAAGATACTCAGAAATGAAGTACAAAAGACAAGCAACAGGTAGTACTAATCTAGCATGCTTCACGTAGTGCAGGCAAGGCAACTTAATCAATTAGGCAAGTTGAATCAACTAAACATGCTTTTCGAATCTAACACAGGTTATAATTGCAAGTAAAATAAGGCAAATATGAAGGAAACTCAGCCTCAATATTTTAAGTAAGAACCGAATTTTCAACAATTGGCTCAAGTACGCGCTCGTCACCTCGCGTACAAAGCACTCAAATTACCAAATAACAAATCCTAAGGGGAAAGGTCCCCACACAAGGTTAGACAAGCCACTTACCTCGAACCGGCTCAAAATCAACTAGAAACCACGCCTTTGCCACGAGTATCCGACTCCAAATGGCCCAAATCTATTCAATTCAATTACACATTGTAAATAACATCGCAAGCAACTGATTCTACTAATTAATTCAACGCTAAGGCGCGAAATTAGGTAAAATGACCAAAATGCCCCTCAGGACAACGTCACAGAATCGAATAATTTTCACATTTTCAGAACCCTCGTACTCTCACGAGTCTAACCATATAAAAATCTCCCAAAATCGGAGGTCAAACACCCACTCAAAACTCAATAGTTTAGCCTATGAAGTTTTACCCATTTTTCAGTCAAAAATCCGAAATTAAGGATGAATTTGTGATTAGATTAGTGGGTATTAAGCATAAGAGAGTAAAGAATCGTTACCAAATTGTTGCTCTCGAAAACCCTTCGAAATTTCTCCCAAACCCGAGCTCCCAAGCTTGTATTTTGATAAAAATGGCTAACCCTCGTTTTTGGAATGTTAAATACTGCCCAGGTGTTTAACGAATCGCGATCGCGAAAATAGGGACGTGATCGCGTAGAGTAAAAATAAGGCTCCAGGAAAAAGGCCTACGCGATCGCGTAAAAAGGCATGCGATCGCAGAAGAGGAAAAACTGACCTCACGCGATCGCGTCTGAGGACACGCGAACGCGAAGAAGGGAAAGGCAGAGCTATGCGATCGCGAATCAATCCATGCGATCGCGATTAAGGAATTGGGCCCCCCTCCAGATTGCTCTATGCGATCGCGTGAGCTGGGACGCGATCGCGAAGAAGAAAGTGATCTGCAACAGCTGAAGGATTTTTCTGCAATTTTTACAACTCCAAAATGCTCCGTTGAGCATCCGAAACACACCCGAGGCCCCCGGGACCTCAACCAAACCTACGGACATACCCCATAACATCATTCAAACTTGTACCAATCCTTAAACCACCTAAAACAACGTCGGAAACTCAAATTAAACAAGGATTTGAGCCTAAGAACTTCAAATTTCCTCAAATACGCTTTCGATCAAAAACCTAACCAAAACACGTCCGAATGAACTAAAATTTCGCATACACGTCCCAAATGACATGACGGAGCTACTGCAACTTCCGGAATTCCAATCCGACCCTCGGATCAAAAACTCACTATCGGACCGGAAACTTCAAAAATTCAAACTTCGGCATTTCAAGCCTAAATGAGCTACGGACTTCCAAAATACATTCCGAACACGCTCCCAACCCCGGATCACCTAACGGAGCTAACGGAACCATCGAATTTCCATTCCAAGGTCGTCTTCACACTGCTCCGACTACGGACCACTTTTCACCACTTAAGCTCTCATTTAGGGACTAAGTGTCCCAAAACTCTCCGAAACTCAACACCGAACGTCCCAGCAAACCAAAATAGCAGAAATGAACTTAGGGGAAGCAGTTAATAGGGGATAGGGGCGTTAATTCTTAAGACGACCGGCCGGGTCGTCACAATGTCGACCCCACGTCACTACTTCTCTGGGGTTAGTCTAGATTCTTACTGGGTACGCGTTTATTTACGTACTTATGCTACACTTGTTGCACATTTTTGTGTAGATACATATATGTCTGGTGGTCTTTTGGGCGCAGAGACGCGATTATTGCGGGTAGGGGTGTTTATAGTTCGCTTTGAATCGGTTTTTCCCTAAAATAAAACCAAACCAAGTAAGTCGGTTTTTCAAATATTAGAACCAAACCAAACCAATTAAGTCGGTTTTTCCTCGATTCGGTTTATGCAGGTTTTGTCGGTTTTTCGGTTTTTTCGGTTTTTTCGGTTATTTGTCGTTTTTTCTTAAATATAAGACATACACTACCCACATATTCCGGCGACCACATTTTCAACGTAACACTATCAAATCAATTGCCCTTTGAGAAATCTATTATTTACTAAAATATATTGATGATAATTGAATCAAATAGTGATGAATAATTTAAGGACTCAATTAAAAATATTTTTTTAATATGAAATGGATTCTTAAACTTAACAAAAGAAAACTACCAATCAAACTAGAATATAAAGGTAAAGAATTGTACTAAAAGTGCAAACAATTAACATACACCATAAAAATTTTGAAACTTTGTATAAAAATATACATATATATAGGTGTAATAATAAATTTAAAATAGCTACTCCTATAGTCGGTTTGGTTCGGGTTTTTTCGGTTATTTTTTGATTAAAACCAAAATCAAACCAAATTTGATCGGTTTTTAAAATTTAAAACCAAAACCAAACCAAACTAAGAAGTATCGGGTTTTTTGGTCAGTTTGGTTTGGTTTTCGATTTGGTTCGATTTTTCGGGTTTTTATGAACACCCCTAATTGCGGGGACTTACCGTGAGCTGCATTTAATGTTACGATCCGCAACCTATAGAGTCTCCATCAGAGTTATTTATATTTTTTCTGTCTAATTTGCATTCGAGACAGATGTTGTATTTTATTATATTTCCTAGTTAATGCTCATGCACTTGTGACACCGAGTTTTGGGGATGCTTACGGGTTATTCGTTTTGGTAGTTTGTGAAAATATTATCATTTATCCTATAAACTCTATTTCTTACTATTTAATTGATGAAAAATTATGGTTTCAAAAATACTAATATGAGTAATTAAGTTAAATCATTCACCATTGGCTTGCCTGACGGCTGTGTTAGGTGCCATCACGACCTTTGGTGGATTTTGGGTCGTGACAATAGATAAATATTATATTATACTAGAATACATTATAAAACTATTTATATAAGTAACCTTTGAAGAATATAATAAAATTAAATAACATAAATATATTTCAACTTCTAATTCTCTTCTATGTGCAGATGGAATTTGGGCATCGTAGATGAATGTATGATAGGAATCATCCGAATCATACAGGTTTGCGGGATGAATTTATAGAAAGGGTTGCTAGCTTTATTGTTAAGGCAAAGACACTTGATGATTTTCTTATCGATGGGATAATTAGGTGCCCCTATATGAAATGCAAGTGTCTTAAGTTATTGCGGCCTGATAGTGTTACTGTTCATTTGTATAAGAAGGGGTTTATGAAAAATTATTACGTGTGGACTGTGCATGGGGAGATTCATGCTAGTGTAGATGATGTTCATTTTGAGAACTCATTTGGTGGTGAAGAAGGTAGTCGCACAACGGAGAATATTAATGTTGAAAATTATAGATTTAATGAAATGAAGAGGGATGCTTTCCCTGAGGCTCAATCCGAACCAAATGATGAGGCTAAGAGCTTCTTCAAACAGTTAGAGGAAGCTAGTTGTCCACTTTATGAAGGCGCAACGCATTCAAAGTTGTCTGTTGCAGTTAGATTACTAAGTATTAAATTGGATAATTCTATTTCTCAAGCGGGCATGGATTCTATCATTGGCCTTATGAATGAACTTAATCCAACCAAGATTGACTTGCCCAAAGATTTTTACACGGCAAAGAAAGTGGTTTCCAAGTTGGGTCTTTCATCGGAGAGGATTGATTATTGTGAGAAAGGTTGCATGTTATTCTATAAGGAAGATTCAGCTTCAGAAAATTGTGAATTTTGTAACCAGCCGCGTTACAAAGAAGTGACAAATGCTAAACAAAAGAAGGTTCCAGTGAAGGCGATGCACTACTTACCCCTTGTACCAAGGTTAAAGAGGTTGTGTGCATCAATGAGTTTCGCTCATCATATGAGATGGCATTATGAACATAGAAGGCCAGATGGCGTGTTATGTCATCCGTCAGATGGAGAAGCATGGAAGCATTTTGATAGGGCGTTCCCAGACTTTGCAGGTGAATCGAGAAATATTAGGCTGGGATTATGTGCTGATGGATTCACTCCATTTACAGTGTCTGCTGCACCATATTCATGTTGGCTAGTGTTTGTTAATTCGTATAATCTGCTGCCTGAATTGTGTATGACAAGACAATATTTGTTTCTAACTTGTTGTCATGACCCAAAATCCGACTAGTCGTGATGGCACCTAACCCAACTTGCTAGGTAAGCCAATTAATAATTATCCATTTCCAATGAAATTAATAGAATAATTAAATGGAAGAAATTATCTGAAACTTATTCATTCCCCGAGAACTGGTAGTACAAATCATGAGCTTCTAAGAATAGTACAAAGCTGAAATGAAGTAAATACATCTTCTGTTTGAAATACATAAACAGAGCTTTATATCACTCTCACTGAGGCCCTCGGCCCCACTCAGTCATCAAACTCTCCAGTCTCACTCACGGGCTCACAATGTCATGAATCTAGCCCGACAATAATGAATTGATGTATCAATAAATAACAATTGNGTTTTTGAGAGGGGTTTTGAATAAATTCTTGAGGTAAGCTCCTTGTGTCTATTCTTCTTCAATAATTATGTTTCCCCACTGATTTTCTACCTAGTTGGTGTGTTTTTGAGGTGAAATTTGGGAGTTCGAGGCTAGAGATTTGGAGAGTTAATTTTGGGGGTTTGAGTGGCGAAATGATGTCGGATTTTGATAAGTTTGGTATGGTTAGACTCGTGAGTGAATGGGTTTTGGGTTTTGTGACTTTTGTCGGATTTCGAGATGTGGGTTCGGGGGGCGGCTTTTGGCCAATTTCGGATTCCGACTTATAATTTTGTATTTTTCTTGTGGAATTGATTCTTTTAGCCCGTATTGATTGTATTATAGTGCTTGTGGCTAGATTCGAGACATTTGGAGGCAGACTCGCGAGGCAAAGGCATATTGGAGTAGAGTTTTGCTCAAATTGAGGTAAGTAACAGTTCTAAATCTGGTTCTGAGGGTATGAAACCCCGGATTATGCGTCATGTGATTGGTTTGGAGGCGACGCACATGCTAGGTGACGGGCGTGTGGGTGTGTACCGTAGAAATTATGACTTGGGCCAGATGGCGTGTTATGTCATCCGTCAGATGGAGAAGCATGGAAGCATTTTGATAGGGCGTTCCCAGACTTTGCAGGTGAATCGAGAAATATTAGGCTGGGATTATGTGCTGATGGATTCACTCCATTTACAGTGTCTGCTGCACCATATTCATGTTGGCTAGTGTTTGTTAATTCGTATAATCTGCTGCCTGAATTGTGTATGACAAGACAATATTTGTTTCTAACTTGTTGTCATGACCCAAAATCCGACTAGTCGTGATGGCACCTAACCCAACTTGCTAGGTAAGCCAATTAATAATTATCCATTTCCAATGAAATTAATAGAATAATTAAATGGAAGAAATTATCTGAAACTTATTCATTCCCCGAGAACTGGTAGTACAAATCATGAGCTTCTAAGAATAGTACAAAGCTGAAATGAAGTAAATACATCTTCTGTTTGAAATACATAAACAGAGCTTTATATCACTCTCACTGAGGCCCTCGGCCCCACTCAGTCATCAAACTCTCCAGTCTCACTCACGGGCTCACAATGTCATGAATCTAGCCCGACAATAATGAATTGATGTATCAATAAATAACAATTGAGACCGAGATATGATATGAATGCATGAATATGACTGAGTGAAAAATACCAAGATGACAACCAGAAACGACCACTATGGGTCCCATCTATATCGGCATAAAGTCTAATCATGATAGCTAGCATGGTTGACAGTTCAATTACTTTATCACATGGTGAAAACACATATATCAACAAAATAGGACCACTATATAGTACCATGGAAACAGCGGAGTCATAATTCACAGGGTGCACGCCCACACGCCCGTCACCTAGCATGTGCGTCACCTCAATACCAATCACACAACACGTAATTCGTGGTTTCATACCCTCAGCACTAAGTTTAGAAGAGTTACTTACCTCGAACAAGCCAATTCCAATACTCAAAACTACCCAAAAGAAACTCAAATACGTCAAATAAAGCCCAAGGAAACAATCCCGAATGATAAAGATCGAATCCTTAATCAAAAACCAAAACCGGCCAAAAATCACACCCGGGCTCGCGCCTTGGAACCCAATAAAACTCACAAAATCAGACCATCCATTCAATTACGAGTCCAACCATACTAGTTTCACTCAAATTCGACTCCGAATCGATGTTCAAAACTCAAAAATTCATATTATGAAATTTTAGGCCAAAACCCCCAATTTCCTCTTTAAAATTCATCAACCAAAATCTAAAATCGAAGATAGATTCATGGAATATAACCAAACCGAGTAGAGAACACTTACCCCAATTCATATGGTGAAAATTTCTTCAAGAATCGCCTTAGTCTGAGCTCCCTAGCTCCAAAAATGTAAAAATAGCCGAAACCCTCGAAATGAAATTTAATAGAATCTGCCCAGCTATTACACTTCGCGAACACGGACAATTCCACGCGTTCGCATAGAACAAGTGCTCACCAGCTGAAATTGCTCTTATGCGAACGCAACACCAAAGACGCGAACGCGATAAACAAAAACCTGGAGTTACGCAATCACATACCACATTTCGTGATCGCGAAGAACAAACGCCTGACATCCTTAGGCCTTCCTTCCTACTACACGAACGCATCACCAGGTTCGCGAACGCACTGAACAAATGTCTCAACCTCCGCGAACGCATCTCTGAACTCGGGAATGCGATGAACAATCCTACTCAGCCATCCAACAACCCTATGTGATTCCGATCTGTACTCCGCGATCGCGATTAAGGAAACCAGAAGCCTAGAATTCTACAGAACCAACAATACAAATATGAAGGAAAAATAGCCCGACATCAATCCGAAACACGCCCGAGCCCCTCGTGACCCCATCCAAACCTACCAACAAGTCCCATACCATAGCACGGACCTACTCGAGGCCTCAAAACACACATAACAACATCAAAACGATGAATCACACCTCAATTCTAAATCAATGAACTTTGAAACATCAAATTTCCACAACCGATGCCGAAACCTATCAATCACGTCTGATTGACCTCAAATTTTGAACACAAGTCACATTTGACCTTATGGATCTGCTCTAACTTCTGGAATCGGAATCCGACCCTGATATCAAAAAGTCTTCTCCCGGTCAAACTTTCCAAAATTTCAACTTTCGCCATTTCAAGCGAAATTCTACTACGGACCTCCAAATCACAATCCGGATGCGCTCCTAAGTTTAAAATCACCCAACGGAGATAACGGAACCATAAAAAATCCAATTCGAGGTCAACTACTAAAAAGTCAAACTTTGTCAACTCTTTCAAATTTAAAGTTTCCTTATTGAGAATCATTCTTCCAAATCAATTTTGAATAACCTGAAAACCAAAACCGACGATTCACATAAGTAATAATAAATCATACCGAGCTACTCATGCCCGTAAACTGCCGAGCGAAGTGCAAATGCTCAAAATGATTGGTCGGGTCGTTACACTTGTATTGTTCCAAGTCCACGTAATCCAAAAAAAATTGATTGATGTATACATGTAACCCCTAATTGATGAGTTGAAGTTATTATGGCATGAAGGTGTGGAAACATATGATATATATAAACTAAGCAAAACTTCAGACTCTGTGCTGCTTTGATGTGGATTATAAATAATTTTCTTGCTTATGGAATGATGTCCGGGTAGTCAACAACGGGAAAGTTAGCTTGCCCGAATTGTATGGAAGACACAAAGGCATTCACTTTAAAACATTGAGGCAAGAACAGATGGTTTGACTGTCATCGCCGCTCCTTGCCAATAGATCATGAGTTTATGAGAAATAGTAGTGAATTTATGAAGAACAAAATCGATTATGAGGAGCCACCGCATGTCTTGTTGCCTGAAGAGATTTGGAATAGAGTTAGGAATGTACTGAAGGTAGCAGAGTATCCATTGCCTAATAAGATACCGGGGTATGGTGTAACACACAACTGGACAAAGCAGGGCATTTTTTGGGAGTTACCTTATTGGAAGCACAATATTCTTCGACATAATCTTGATGTCATGCATATCGAGAAGAACTTTTTTGATAACTTGTTTAATACTGTGATGGATGTATAGGCGGGCTGAGTTGTAGTTGACATACTTGAACAACAAGATTCAGAAGCCTAAGGCCAGTTACACATTCACTTTAGATGAAAGAAGAGAGATTTGTGATTGGTTTAATAATTTCAGGAAACCTGATGGGTATGCATCAAACTTATCTAGTTGTGTTGACATCAAAGAAGGGAGGTCGACGTCTATGAGAATCCACGATTGTCACATTTTCATGGAATCTGGTGCCTATTGCATTTAATGCTTTGCCGGATAGAATATGGAAGCCCATCAATGAGATATGCTTATTTTTCAAGGAGTTATACTCTAGCACATTGAGGGTGGAGAACCTAGCTTACATGGACAGTAACATTCACTTAACTTTAAATAAGTTGGCAAAAAAATTTCCGCTTAGTTTTTCGATGTGATGGAATATCTTCCAATTCACCTTGGGCAAGGCACGGCCAGGAGGGTATGTTCAACGTAGATGGATGTATCCCTTCGAGAGGTAATTATCTTTAATCATTAATCCTTATGTATTTCATTTTAATATAATTTCATCTCAAAATCGTGCTATGCAGGATGATTGGCAAATGTAAGCGTACCGTGAAAAATCGATCAAGGATTGAGCGATCGATATGTGAGGGCATATCTGTCTAGAGAAACATCTTATTTTTGTTTATATTATTTTGAACATGATGTGCTATATTTATGAAATAGACCTGATCGCATGATGATGGTGACAATACCGATCCATTGGTACCACCCTTTTCCATATTCAATCAACTTGGAAAAGGCGTTCAAACGTAGTCCAATACGATTTATGGATGAGATAGAGCTAAAGTCAGCTACAACATATGTTCTAATAAATTGTCCCAAAGTCCAACCTTATTATACGTAAGTGTACATTTATATTACCGACTTATATTCAATCTCAATTATCAATATTTTAAAAAATGAAAAGTTTCAAATATGTCTGACAGTTGGTTTATGGGTACATATGGGCATGAACATGTTTATCCTAAGTTTGTAGAATGGTCTAAACAGTTTGTAAGTATTAGCGAAGTTTCTTCCAATGCAAATTATTATATATCAAGTGTACATACTTTTTAATTTCTAATTAACTGTTATATATTGGGTTCGATCTAGGTTCATAATCCAGATAATGGCATAAATGATCAATTTTTGCATGATATTGCTTGGGGCCTAGCCCTAAGGTCAGAATGATGTCTCAGTACTCCATCAATGGTTACAAGTTTCATACAGAAGAATGATCTAAGGGCAAAAAAACTAATAATAGTGGCGTGAGTGTGAAGGTTGATGGTGATTATTATGGCGTGCTTCAACAGATATTAGGACTCAAGTATAGTGTTTATTGGCCGAAGAAAAAGTTGGTACTCTTTCAGTGTAAATGGTATGATCCAACACCTGCTAGAGGTACAAAGGTGCATCTGCAGTATAAAATAATTGAAATAAAGCACACGGGGAGGTATAGACTCTATGACCCATTTATCATAGCACAAAATGTGAAACTTGTGTATTACGCACCTTATCCGTTGTGCAAGAAGAAGGCTGCATGGTGAGTAATAAAAACAAAGCCTGTGGGTAGAGTTGATGTAACGACCTGACCGGTCGTTTTGAGCTCTAGCACATCGTTCGGCGATTTGAGGCCATGAGCAGCTTCACTTTAGGTATCATGACTTGTACGCGTGGCCGGAATTGAATTTCGGGAAGTTCGGAGTTGATTTGGAAAGAAAATTCTCATTTCGAAAGCTTTAAGTTGGAAGAATTGACTAAGGTTGGATATTTGAGTAAACAACCTTGGAATCGGAATTTGAAGATTCCAGCAGGTTTGTATGATGATTTTGGACTTAGGCGTATGTTTGGATCGGGTTTTGGATGACCCGGGAGCGTTTCGGCGCCTATTATGGAAGTTAGCATTTTGGAAGAATTTCATACATTTGGGCTGAAGTACATTTCAATGTTATCAATGTCCGTTAGGGATTCCGAGTCTGAGAATAGCTCCGTATGGTGATTATGGTATTGGGAGCGCGTCCGGAAGTGGATTCAGAGGTCCCTAGGTCATTTTGGGGTCATTTGGCGAAAGTTAGAAATTTGAAGGTTATTGAGAAGTTTGTCCGGAAGTGAAATTTTTGATATCGGGGTCGGATTCCCATTACAGAAGTTGGAGTATGTCCGTAATGTCGAATGTGATTTGTATGCAAAATTTGAGGTCAATCGAACGTGATTTGATAGCTTTCGGCATTGGATGTAGAAGTTTGAAGTTCTAAAGTTCATTAAGCTTGGAATGGAGTGCGATTCATGAATTTGACGTTGTTTGATGTGATTTGAGGCCTCGAACAATTTTGTGTTATGTTTTTAGACTTGTGGGGGTGTTTGGTTTGGAGCTCCGAGGGCTCGGGTGAGTTTCGGACGTTCGGGAGGATGAGAAAAACTCCAATTTTTCTGGTGTTTCTTAGCAGCAGTTGCAAGTCTCGAAAATGCGAGAATTTGTTTGCATTTGCGAACCTCGCATTTGCGAGAAGGGCTTCGCAATTACGATGGAGCATGACCTGAGGAATTTAAGATTTTAAAAGTTTTAATTTGAACTTCGTATTTTCAAAAAGAAATTGAGGAATATTATAATAACTTAAGCAATCTATGTGTAACCGCGTCGCAATTATATTCCGCGAGTTGGATAAATTTCCACTACTCTCATGGGAGCGGGCCGTTCGCCTCGACGGGTTAAATAGATGCATCTATGGTTCGTGCCGTTCGACCCACGGCAGTGCAAAATTTATAATTTATATGTTGGTTCAAGCCGTTCGACCCTCGACAGTGCACAATTTATATTTATATGTTGGATCGGGCCGTACGACCTCGGCATAATTTTTGCATGATTGAATTGATTGCTTTAGAATTTATAATAAATGATATTGCCTCATTGGCCTGAGATAAATTTTTAAATGATGAGAAATAAATTTGGAGATTTCTTAATTATAAAAGAATTGCTTACTACTTCATAATATTGAGCTTACAGCCAATCTATATAATCCATGTTTAAATTATATCATTAGCATTTTATTTATATCCCATAGTAAGTATCGGAGTCGATCCCTCGTCACTACTTCTTCGAGGTTAGACTGGATACTTACTGGGTACGTGTTGTTTATGTACTCATACTACACTTGCTGTACATTTTGTTGTGCAGGCACATATATATTTAGTGGCCTTGCTGGCACAGCGGCATGGTTAATGCGGGGACTTAGGTGAGCTGCATTCCATATTACAACCCGCAGTCAACAGAGTCTTTTTCAGAGTACTTATATTTTCTTTCCTGTCCAAATTTGTATTCTGGACAGATGTTGTATTTCGTTCTATTTCCTAATTAGTGCTCATGCACTTGTGGCACCGGGTTCAGGGGTGATTATGGGTTATTCAGTATTGAGATTGTTAAAAACATTATTATTTACTCTGAAATTTTCATCTTCTACTATTTAATTGAAGGAAATCTATGATTTAAAAAATATTAAAGTGAGACCTAAATTAAGTATTTAGTATTGGCTTGCCTGACAGCGGTGTCCGGAGCCATCACGGCCTTTAATGGATATTGGATCGTGACAACATGGTATTAGAGCACTAGGTTCACTTAGGTCTCACGAGTCATGAGCAAGTCTAGTAGAGTCTTGCGGATCGGTACGCAAATGTCTATACTTATCTTCGGGAGGCTATAGAGCTGATAGGAGCACTTCCCTTCTTGATTCCTCATCGTGCGATTTGATCCCTTTGAGGCTTACGCCTTTGTCTCTTTCCTATTCAATCTTATGCGACGTGAAGAGCTGGTTATAAATTGGGAATCGAGGAATTTTAATGGTACTACATATGTGGTGCATGTTGTTTCTCCCTACGTATTTGATTGGTCTATTGTCGTCACCTTGTGGAAGGCCATTCTGGCGTTTTATCTCAGTATCAGTATTACCTGAGGTTTTGGGATTTGGCATTGATTGTTATAACGATAGGTGCGTTGCTATCGCACAATGTTGGTGTAATGGTAGGATGCTTGTCTATGCATCGGGGCAGTGAATGACTTGAAAGGAGGTTTTACTCGGTACATAATTCAGAGATTCAGTATTTTACTTCCGGCAGAGGAAAGGCAATCGGACTAAGAATGTTCAGAGTTGGATTGGTGGAGCAACGAGACTTGGTATTTTCGAGCGTGGTGGAATTTTTATCTGTGATGTGGTGTCGTTGTCCTTGTTGAATGCGTTAAGTTCGCCGGTGTGATGGTCTTCATCAATTTGCCTTCAGGGCAGGGTATTGTGAAATAGTGCCGGGAAGCGGCTGTCAGAGATCGCATTGTGAGGTGGTTCAGGATTTAATCGATGGTCCGAGTGTTGAAGGCTCAAGGAAGATGATCTTCGGGGAGGTTTAAAATTGGTGGCAATCTATTGGTTCAAGTGCAACAGAGATAGATACTGATTTAAGGAAACAACTAGACAACGAAGGATAAGGAAGGGCGTGTGGGAGGTGTCTTGTGGTGGTTAAACTTCTAGAAGGCCAAGTGTGAGAAACATGAGTCGAGTAGTTGCTTAAAGGAGTAAGTTTGAACAAAGTGGGAGAGTGGTAGGTAGCATATGGGTTCTGTGGTAGAATGACTACACACCTTGAGAAAAGTTTAGAGTGATATGAGATTCGTGGTGTCAGTGACTAATTCTACAGACTTGATTTCGAATATTGGCTATTATACTGTGGGAGCTTGGATACGACGGAAAAGAGTTGTTTGATATGAAGAAGGATATGACATGACTTTGGATTGGAATGTATTGTCACACCTTTAGTTGATGTCCACGAGGAGTGAACGGACTTGTACAGCTGGTGAAGGAGCACGGGCTCAGGATGGGTTACTGATTTTGTAGTAGTTGTACCCAGTGCAGTGACGTTGGAAGATGTCGGCATGTAATTTCCACAGGTGGGTTATCTCCTGTGAGTAGGTCAGCGGTCGCGTGGTTGACAAAGCTTCTACGAAGAATTCTACTGTTTATCCGGTAACAGGTCGAATATGTAAATGTGGTTAGTGATTCAGAATGTTCATAAAATGCTAATAGAAGGATTACGAGGAATTTGGTGGGTTGATTGTGCAAGACCATGTCAATGGGGGATAAGGAATCTCAGTGGATTCCAGAGTTATGTAATAGGTGTCTTCAAGCTAACTAGGAGAGCTCCACCGCCTACGATTGGATTGTATGGTTATCTACTTGTGAAGTTTCTGGTCATCGGCATATTAATGGATTATTATGACTAAGGAAAGAGAACATCAGTGGTAATTTGAGTAAAGGATTTGAGGAATGTGTGCTATAATTGGCCTTATCAATTTATGTTTAGGCTTTGGGAAGACTCAAGATTTATGCTTCGTGTTGAGGTGATTCACAAGAAAGGTGATTCAGTCGGGCATTTCTTTGAGAAGGGTGTTAATGTGCTAGCAGAGCCTTGGAGTTGATTATATTTGGGACCAAGTTAGAGTGGGTGACTCTCAACAATGGTCCCGGTGGATTCAAAAGTTAAAGTGTGGTGCCTAAGGACTTCGAGTCCGTAGCAGGGTTGAGCATTAAGCTTTTGCAATGGATTATGAAAAGGGTCTTGGAGTGTTCTGTGTTATCTTCGGTCCACGGTGTAACGTGAGAGGAATGGGGGGACAATAATTTTGGATTCAAAGAGGAACTATCAGAATGGGTGTACTAGTTAAAGATGCGAATGTGCGCACAAGGAAGGACATGAGATGGTTCGTGGGTTTTGAGACAACGTGGTCTCGTGAAATAAGGTCACTCAGGGTGAGTGCAGAATTGGGCTCGTGATGTTTTGAATGGAGCTATTATTATTTCTGAGGCAAGTTAAGAATAAATTGGGAGAAGACGGGTCGGCTAGTAATCGTTGAATTATCATTATTGTGGCCGTGATCAGTTCCTTCAGCGTGTTTAGTTATACATGTGATTTGTGAGGGTACGTGCGAGGCTTGACGGTCGCTGTAATTGATTTTATTTGGAGACATTCGAGTATAATGTCCTGTTATGGGTAAATAGATTCCGGAAGAGTTATGGTGGTTTCAACCACTGCTTGAGGTTGGTATTTTCTGCGTTTATAAGAATTCAGTCATGTATTGTGATGGTTCTCTTGAAATGAGCTAAGCAAAAGGTTTCTATATGATGAATTGTTTACCCTGTTAGTGGTTCGGAAGTTATGATAAAATTCTTGTACTCTTGCATGTTGGCATGATTAAGTGCAGTGAGTAGCATGGGATTTGGAAGTTGAGGATCAAGGTTGCAGTTTGGTGTTGACAAGAATGTCACCAGCTCGGATGAGCAGGAAAAAGGATTCAGATGGTTATAGTAAGCTGGTATTGTATTTAGCGTCACCCGAGATCGGTGTCCTGTGTAAGAGGCTTTGCGTACTGATTTTGGATTCTTGATTTGCTTTACAACGTTGGTATGGCCGATGGTATAGAGCTGCAGACTCATTACCTGGCACGGAAGGTCGTGGGAGCATGCCCCGCGGGAAGATTGTATAAGTGTGACATGTAGTCACTTGATTGATTGAAGATTGAAACCAGGTATGGAGATTTTGGTACTATCATTAATGTGAGAGTTTAGGCCTGAAAGGCGTTCTATTCAGTTGGTTGTGAATTATGGAAGTTTGGGCCAGATTCGACGGATGTTCTTACGTGTCATAAACAGGTCATTGTGGGTCCATGAGAAGTTATTTGCCCAAGAATGGTATGATCAGAATCGTTTGAGGTCCGTTGATGGTTCCAAATGTGGATGTTTACTCAACACCAGCCTGGGTGTGTTCATTCATCATAGCACTTCTTAGGGAGGGTATCCGGACGTTGGATGTTATTTCGTCGTCGGCTATATCATGCAATACTCTATTGTGCCGTATGGGTTGTGAGGTGGTTTGATTACTCACACATGTGTTGTGATCCCGTGTATCTTATGGTGTTATATGAGCAGGATGGCTCTCGAGATGTAGGTAATTTATTGCACCTTAGTCGTGCTTGAGTTTTGTAGCATATGGCGCTATCCGTCTCCCCGTGACTTGTATTATGCACTTCGCGTGCTTGTGGTTGATATTCGGGTATGTTATTTGGATCGGGTGGCACGCTGCCATGGGTATGTATTTTGGATTAGGTGGCACATCGCCACAGGTATCATTGTTGGATCGGGTTGCATGCCGCAACGATATTATGTGTGGATCGAGTTGCACGCTGCAACAGTGTGATGTTAAGTAATAGTTTCTTATATCTATTATGGTGTGTTTTGCTTCTCATTTTCTGGGGAAGGTTCATAACATCTTTTTGGTTGTTTTAATTAGCTACGTGGGTTGAGTACTTCTTTCCAGAGCTTGTTTCTTTGTGTATCACATTCGAGTTTGTAGCTTGTTGGCACATTGTGGCATCATATGATACTTTTGGCAGTGTCTGAGGTAGCTTATTGCCTGAGCAGCTTGTACTGGCTGAGGCGAGGTTATTGGACCTGGGATCAGTGCGATCAGATTTGTATGAAGCGTATTAAAGAGTAAATATCGATATTCAGTCCAGAATAAGGTAATGGTTCTTGTCAAGAAGAGGAACTCAATGATTTGTTGACTCGGCAGTTGGTTATGAATTTCTACACATCTCTTCCATCTTGGCAGTATTGTAATAGTTGGAACAGGACTTATATGAGTCATGGAATGTGTTGTGAGCATCGGATTCGTGAAATTTAGGCTATCGTTATCAGATGATGTCCTTATGGTCATGTGGATTATGCGGTGCATGGTATGGATTCAGCAAAGGTATGCAAACATTTATTAGTGCATCATGTAGTGATTGAGATGATGTTCGTATGTTGGAAACAGACCTGGTAGAGAATTCCGGATGTTGGAATTGGGCTCTAGCTTATTTGACTAAGAAAAAGTGGGAATCTTCAGACTGGCCTGAGCTAGTGTGCTCAACTGAGTTGTGGTGGCACGGGTAGGTGCACGAGGTGTTAAGCAGTGATTTTGGACAACTCCAAAGCAGTTCTTAGCACGTTCGAGGATGAATGTATGTTTAAGTGGGAAAGAATGTAACGATCCGACCGGTCGTTTTGAGCTCTAGCCTGTCGTTCGGCGGTTTGAGGCCATGAGCAGCTGCACTTTAGGTATCATGACTTGTACGCGTGGTCGGAATTGAATTTCGGGAAGTTCGGAGTTGATTTGGAAAGAAAATTCTCATTTCAAAAGCTTTAAGTTGGAAGAATTGACTAAGGTTGGATTTTTGAGTAAACGACCTCGGAATCGAGATTTGAAGGTTCCAAAAGATTCGTATGATGATTTTGGACTTGGGCGTATATTTGGATCGGGTTTTGGATGACCCGGGAGCATTTTGGCGCCTATTGTGGAAGTTAGCATTTCAGAAGAATTTCATGAATTTGGATTGAAGTGCATTTCAATGTTACCGATGTCCGTTTGGGATTCCGAGTCTGAGAATAGCTCAGTATGGTATCTCGGTTGTGCTACCGGAGGCTCTAGGGAAGCTTGGCGGGTATGTAAAAGATATTCTTTGTTTTCCATCACTTTTACATGTGTCAAAAATATTCTGGTATTGGGAGCGCGTCCGGAAGTGGATTCGGAGGTCCTTATGTCATTTTGGGGTCATTTGCGAAAGTTAGAAATTTGAAGGTTTTAGAGAAGTTTGACCGGAAGTGGACTTCTTGATATTGGGGTCGGATTCCAATTCCAGAATTTGGAGTAGGTCCGTAATGTCGAATGTGACTTGTATGCAAAATTTGAGGTCAATCGGACGTGATTTGATAGGTTTCGGCATCGGATATAGAAGTTTGAAGTTCTAAAGTTCATTGAGCTTGGAATGGGGTGCGATTCATGAATTCGACGTTGTTTGATGTGATTTGAGGCCTCGAAAAAGTTTGTGTTATGTTTTTAGACTTGTGGGGGTATTTGGTTTGGAGCCGCATGGGCTCGGGTGAGTTTCGAACGATCGGGAGGATGAGAAAAACTCCAGTTTTTTGGTGTTTCTTAGCAGCAGTTGCAGGTCTCGCAAATGCGAGAATTTGCTCGCATTTGTGAACCTCGCATTTGCGAGAAGGGCTTCGCAATTATGATGGAGCCTGACCTGGGCAGAGTTTGCATTTGCATTAATTTGGTCGCATTTGCGACCTCAGCACACTTCGCATTTGCGATTCATTGGTCGCATTTGCGACCTTGGCAGTGGAGGGCCATGTTCGCATTTGCGATGGTTTTGTTGCATTTGCGACCTTCGCATTTGCGAACCAGGTGTAGCAAATGCGACATCTGAGGCCTGTGCACAGCTTATTAATTGCGAGACTTAGACCATTTAGCTTATTTCCTTTCATCTCTTGGGCGATTTTTGGAGGTTTTGGAAGAGTTTTCACCTAGCACTTTGAGGTAAGTAATTTCTACACAACATGAGTTAAATACATAGATTATGGGTAGATTAACATGTATAAATTGCTGAAATCAAGGGTTTAGATGAAAACCTAGGTTTTGGATAAAAATGAGATTTGACCAGGAAAATGGTTATAGAATTTGGTAAAACCCATATATTTGACTTCATAGGGTTATGGGTAACAACTTTCTTCGAAAATTTCTGGAATCCGGGTGCGTGGGCCCGGGGGTAAATTTTAAGAATCTTACATTTATGGTTAGGTAATTACCTTAATAGTTGGAATATGAATTTTTGTACATGTATTGATTAGCTTATATACTATTTGATTAGTTTTGGATTTGTTCGGCATCGAATTGAGGGTTTGAGCATAATCTTGGGCCGGAAATTGGGCTTTGGAGTGTAGTAAGTCTCCTTTCTAACCTTGTAAGAGGGAATTAACCCCATAGGTGAACTAAATCATTATGTGCTTCAAATTGTGGGGGCTACGTACGCACGAGGTGACGAGAGTCCGTACGTAACTACTAGCTATGCCTATGTCCGGGTAGTTTTAGGTTTACATCATGCCTTGTTAATATTATTATTTGATTTGTGGTTATTGTTTGCCTTGAGAAGAATCGAGATTGAGGTTGCGTATTAATTTTCTTGAAGAGAATTGAAATTGAGGAATTTAAGATTTTAAAAGTTTTCATTTGAACTTCGTATTTTCGAAAAGAAATTGAGGACTATTATAATAACTTAAGAAATCTATGTATTACCGCATCGCAATTATATTCCACGAGTGGGGTAAATTTCCACTACTCTCATGGGAGCGGGTTGTTCGCCTCGGCAGGTTAAATAGATGCATCTATGGTACGTGTCGTTCGACCCTCGGCAGTGCACAATTTATATTTATATGTTGGGTCGAGCCGTTCGACCCTCGGCAGTGTACAATTTATATTTATATGTTGAATTGGGCCGTACGACCTTGGCATGATTTGCGCATGATTGAATTGATTGCTTTGAAATTTATAATAAATTATATTGCCTCATTGGCCCGAGATAAATTGTTACATGATGAG